TCGTCAGAAATACATGGATATGTATTTCTGACGAAGGTGTGTTTGAAACCGGTCAAATACGTCTCTTGTGCTGTGAAGATAATACTTCTTTATTCATACCCTTTCTACATTTGTCAACATGAATGCGGTTCTAACTAGCCTCATACTTTTTCTAAAGGAGGTTAGCTTGTGCAGTTAGCATGAAGGAGAGGTTCTGTGTAGCGGGAGAGGTTGGTTCTGTGGGTGGGGAACCTGTGGATTAAACCCTCCATAACAGGGTAAAGATTGTCTTACAGCGATAATTTTCGACGAATTCAGATCTTGATCAAACCTGTCTTCATTGATGAGAATTAGGAATGTAATTTTACGTTTGTCGCAGACGATGGGGGTAAAATAAGACCCTAGTACCTCTGTGTCCTTAATTAGCATATGATTATTTACTATTTATAGTCTTAGATATAGTATTCTGTTGGGGCGTTAGAGAACCCATATTCAATCTGGTGGCTAATTTGGGAAACTCAGCATTTCTACTGAAAAAGTATGAGACTGGGGGAGTCAATTAATTAATAAATTACTAATCATTTGTATTGTTTCTTACAGAAATTGTGTAGTAAATATACCACTGTCATGAGAGATGAGAGGTATATCTGCGAAGACAGCGACTGATTGCTAAAGTTTCCTTGCGAAGTGTGCTTGATATCTTCAAGGCCACGCAGCCAAGCCGAGTGTGTCAGAGATGATAGTTGTCCAAACAGATACGTCAGGACTTCCTCATAATCCGAAGCATCATCTGTGCCAAGGATCTCTGGGTTTATGGCATGGTTGATAACAGCGCCTCAGACTAGTAGGGTACGTGGAGATCGTGGGCAAAGGGATATGGACAGTATTCGGCCAGTACAAGCAGTGATGGAAGCAGGGTCGGTTATTCATAAATGGAAGGCCTACAATAACACCCAAGGCCTTGGTTTCACCCAGTGTTCGACCAGCCCTTCACTGAATATTGAGGTCCCGCAGACAGGTGTTAGCACTCGGGAAACATACAAAAATCACATGGCAAGATTATGCAAAGCTTTAGGTGAGACGTCCTATCATCGCTATCGACGAGAAATTATGTAGCGCGACTGGTTCTACATGAATGCATTATGAGAATGTGTTCGTATTTCCTCCCAGAAGCCTACATAACATGTGGATGCAATTACTTTATATATCCACTGCTAGTTCAAGCTGTTAGTTGAAACTTCCATCCTTCTATATCACATTTTAAAGTACATTTTCGGAGATGTACTTCCTGTGTCCGAGTCTGTGAGAATTTTCCTATTCGGAGGGGAGAGGGAATCTTGTTATAAGTAAACTCTGGGAGGTTCTTTCTTTGTATGGATGTGATTGCATTTGTAAACAGTATGTAGATGTGTGCAAACGCCTGTGTGCACTACGTACGTTCAGTTTGTATTCAGCCATACAAATTCCATATGTTCCTTTCCATTATATGTAGCAGGAAGTAATTCTTAGCCGTCATGAGATTCAGTATTAGATGAAAAAAATGAACAATGCTTTGCTTATCAAAACACGTGCCGGTACGATGCATCTCTTATCATCTCAAATTGATAACGATTCCGGTAGTGCGTTATGATAAAAAGTACAGACATTCAAATGTATATAGAATTAGCATATATTTATATGTAATGCTCAGACAAATGCAAATCTGATTACACGTCAACGTAAATTCATTTGTAGAAATTAATTTAATGATATACATTATTGTGAGACGTATTATGTCAAATAAATTTGAGTGTTGCATGAGATATCAGAATGGCTCAGTAAATCAAAAATATTTATGATTTTACTAATATGTGGTCACAATAATCAAAGAAACCTAAAAGATGACAAAAATAAAGTTTGCCAAGTCGTCTTGTCAAAATCCCCGCAGGAAGCTCGTCTCTTGATGTGGTTGGATTTTCGCGTTTACCACAAATTCATGTTTCCGATCGTTATTAACTTTTACCGACCAGAAAATTGCAAATAAAATAATTGAGAATAATTATTCAGATTTAGAATCGTACAGTGATATGATAAAACTTATTTCTGTAAAGAGAAATATATACGTGTTCCTGGACATTTAGCACGTGTTAACCCCCCGTGAAATATATCGGTTTTTACTATCTCCATAATATTTATATACTCGATTACCTAAAGATATTTCCGACAAAAATCAACTAATTGTAACACCTGAAACATCAATAGTGATACAAAATACAAACAATAAATCCCAAACCGAATATTTATTTAGCAGTAAATCCCGTTCAAATCTCGAAGTCCAACCCCAACTTTCCCCGGTCGTGCATCAGCTGCTGCCCTCTGCCGAGCTGACGTGGCGAGAGTCGAAAATGCTTGTGTGTAAACATTCCTTGAGATAAAAGTCGTATTTGAGGTCCATTTTCACGTCAAAATGATATCCTTGAGGACATTACTGGTCGTATTTAACCTGTTCTTCGTTGCTGTGGGTGATGAACACACACATACGGTAAGGAATTGGGTTAAAATTGGTTAAAATATAACTGTTAAGGTCAGGTCACTACCGGCCCGAGAGAAGCACTATTTTTTGTAATAATTTTCATTAAATTGTCCCCAATTTTGTTTATGATGTAATTCTTATAATTACATATAATCTGGTATATCATATTCACGCTTATAAGGTACAAGTCACATGAAATTAATTGGGTAGTTGTGTTTTCTCTCTTTAAAAGGTCTACCTGTAATACAGAACTGTCAAAATGTATCGTCGTTATCCAGCTTTTTCATATACCTTTCTTTATCATTGTTCCCCTTATTCCCATATTGTGTCCCAGCTATTCTATGATTTATATGATTTACTTATTGTTACTATAAGATATCCAATGCCAGTTGTTCGTGTTCCTTACCTCTTGGTGATGGTGTGTTGTTATTTTCAGTATTTTGTTCTGTTTTGTATATGCTAACTTTTGGGGTAAATGTTTAGAATACTCCTGTAATGTCTTTTTAAGTGGAACTTGTTTCTTGTTATTTTATATATTGGTTGCACACATAACCTTGCTATGATCTGTGATGGAAGGCCTTCAACTGGAGTCACCTGGTGTTGGGGCAGTGTCATGTGATTGCCATGGCCTCCACTTTTCAGCATAGGTCAAGAAAGTGCCAGTATATATGTTTTTGTAAAATAGAGCTTGGACAGGTTTATTATTTCATACTATGATAAATTGGTTTGGTAGCTTATAAGCTCGCATCTTGCCAGGGTATAAAGTTCATTGCCCTTTGGGACAGTATGCAGAACGAGGTAGTGCCTGAGTTGGGAGATTAAACCTATATAATTTGATGACTGATACAAACCAAAACACTTTTCTTCTATGTTAATATTTGTGCAAATGCTTCCTAAAGGTGCTATACAGAAATGAACAGAGGTGAGAGACCAATTTTGGTTAAGTCGATCATCTTGTTTTCATATCGAGAGTAAGCATTGGATTGACCGCAGAACTCATTACTGCTATGTGTGAAGTAGTTCATGTGTTACTGTGCAATTGTCAAAATGATAGTTTGCTAATTTTCAGTGTCTGTTGTTCTACATTTATGCTTTATTAATGTTGTTATACCTCATTTATGTGTTTTGAGATTTATCATAGTTTTTTACGGGAATCGGTTTGAAGAACCATCTATGACTGTGCATTTGTGTGTTTCCGGCCCTGAGTTTTGACAGGAGGGTTTTCAGCCATTCGGTGACAGAAGGCCGGTGAGAAATGTCTTGTTTTCTGTGTTACATCGATTTTGAGTTATTATTAAGACTATACAGTGGCAATGATGAAGAAATAGACATTGATAACTATTGCAGTTTGTTATCTGAGCCCATCAAGTCCCCCAAATGCCAAAAAAAGTGATTAGAAACAATGCGGTCCACACGATATACCAACCGACCAAAAGAAGCGAAGGAAAGTTTGACAGTTTGGTGTTTTGATATATAAAATTATTTGTTTTATTATTTACACTATGGATGTTACTTATTTTCCCTTACATACTGAGGTTAAGTGAATTGTGTTTGAGGGGAATGTTTAGGGCATCGGTGTTTAGACTTCCAAAGATAACAATCCCAAGAATTATTGAACTCAGTGGATTTCTTGCAGATGAATATCAAAATTGTATTGAAAGTAAGCCACTACCCTGTTCTGCATATTGACCTGATAACGGCATCCCTTCCCAGAGACTAAGATGAAAAAAAATTCATGATTTTCTGCAGGAAATCCAATGATTTCATTGGTTCTTGGTGATTCTCCTCATTGAAGCCATTGAGTACCATTTCTCTATCAACGATCTTGATATGATAGTCCCCATAGCAGGGGATTTAAATAAGAAGAATAGCTAATAGGAATATGTAAAACTAGCACAAGAAATGCCTAAAACTGGCCAGTGAAACTCCACGGACATAATCTCCATCTTTGAAATTCTATAGACTGATATGCCAAAATTAAAAACTTCGGGAACCCAACCTACCTTTTGGCAAAATCTATGGGAATTCACACATTCCAATCCCCCCAAAAAATGTACTAACCAATAAACCAGCCTAATCTAACAATTTAAGTTGCTGTGACTAGGCATGCCCTTTGGGCACTGCTTAGGGGGAGGGTTCATTCTCTTCACCGTGGTATGTACGGCAAGGTAGAGCTGGTTTCACACCGTAAAATGATAAACCAAATACCTTTATGTCTGGAAAGTCAAACTTACTTTCGCTGTTTTCTACCATCTGGATTGCTTCTGGAGTGCTTCGATTTTGATAACTTTTTTCGGCATTTGGGGTGAGATATTAAACTGGGATGGTTACTAAAGTCTATTTATTATTCTTTGCCACCGTATAGTCTTCAGAATAACCCAGAATTAACACAGCACTGAAAATGCAACATTTCTCACTGGCTTTCTGCCACGAAATGACCAGCTCAGAACTGTCAAACCTGGCGGCTGGCGAATGAAATGTGAAACACATGATGTGCAGATAATTCTAAATAAGTCTATAGATAAATCTTAAAAAGACTTTAAAAGGATAAATGTGTAACCGCTGATACTGATAATTAGCCAAATATCGTTTTTACAAGCGCATAGTAATACATGAAGTACTCTGGATATCACAGTATTGAGTTAAGCAGTCAGTGGTGTGTTATTCCTGGCAATGTAGATAACAAGATCGATTTAGAATCTGAACGGTGATATGCAAGGAATATTTTTGTCATTTAGCGGCGACTGTGAAGCCACTGCAGCTTAAACTATGTTATATCCTATTCTATGTTTTCTGCTCTATAAGACGGCTGTGTCCATTTCCCTCTATCTGTAAGTAACTTGTACTGGAGATATCTTGGCCTTTGTAATAGAATGTAGCGGGGAGACCATTGATTGCTTTCTTTAGTTGTGTGTTGAACATATCGATAGATCGGGCAGTTTTAGAAATCATGTAAAGCATAGCTCTAACTTGTTTCAATGATTTTTTTGTAAGGAAACTGTGTTGGATAATGGCAGTCAGGTTGGAATTAAAGCATATTGTACCTTAGAGCTCTTGATTAGTTAACCCAGTGGTGCTAGGGATGGCATGTACTAATATTGTAGCAGCATGACCCCGCAACCTGAAGCTCTGCATATTTCCCAGGTTCGGGCACATCATGTCCATAGTCTTGTCCTCACTCGCTCACCAGCAGTTGTTTCTTTAACTGGCTCACAGGGGCACCTCACAGGTCTCTTGTTAGACTGCAGGCTTTCAAACTTCCCTGTTGATCTTCACTTCTTCTCCAACGCCCAGCCATACAGTGGATGCACACCCTCACACACACTTCCCTAAGAGATAAGAAACCAGACAAGTGGTATATGCAACCCATCTAATACACAGTTGAACCTGGAGTGACACGACTTGGCTTTTCACTCGCTCGCTTAGCTGACTCACTGGAGGGGAGTACCTGTTGCAGCACATCCCCACACCTAAAGCTCGGCATACTTCCTTGGTTGGATCACTTCAGGTCCACAGCCATGTCCTCTCTGTCTCAAAAGCAGGTGCTTCTCTGACTGGCTCATACGGACACCTCATGGTTCTCTCATTGGACAGGAGGCTCTCCTCATTACCACATATACTCTCCAAAGAGCAGTCGTGGTGTATCTCTCGTAGCACTAGGACGTGTTTACAGTACTGTCCTGAGATGTGAGGTCCCTGAATCCTGTGTTTACCCGCCCCTATCTGACCTCGGACAGGGAGCGGATCACCTCCTACCAAGGTATCAGCATGGCTAGTGTTGCTAGTGGAAGTGGATCCCATAAGAGGGTAAGAAGTGATGGAAGCGTAGACATGAGTGACGAGAATGGATGCGAACGGGAGAAGAGGAAGAAAAACAACGGAAACAAAGCAGCAACCCAGAATGTTGCCGGTATGAACGACAAGAAAAGACTGCTATTTCCACAGGACTGCACCATGAGTTTCTTAGAAAAATTAAGGTGGGCCATGCAACTGGGCCGGGACCACGCTGATTTTGAGCCAGTGATGAAGGAAGGAGAAGGAAGGCCGTATCTCACGGTGCGGGCAGGCCAGGCGGTGCAGACGCTGACGACTCAGGGATACAAGGGGACAGTGATAACTGTCCCAAAGGAAGGGGAAAAGTTCACCAAGGTGATAGTTTTCCGATATCCCACGATATTAGACCCGGACTTCCTACTGGACGATGATAGATTTGTGTGGGTAAGGCGGCACACGTCCAGGGGCAAGGAGCGGAGTCAGCTCGTTGCCCTTGTGAAGGGGGAAGTGCCAGAGAAGGTATTTATCTCTGGAGCGGGGTACAGGAGGGTGGCACTGTATGTAGAGCCGCCAGTCATGTGCCTCAAGTGCTGCAGATGGGGCCACAAGTCGTGGGCCTGTCAACAGGAAGCTCAATGCAGGTTCTGTGGCAGGACACATGACTCAAGGGTCTGCCGGGCCAAGATTGAAAAGGGAGAAAGGGTAACGCCTTGCTGCTGCAACTGCGGAGGGCGCCACAATGCCGGGTCTCCTGCATGCAGGGTGAGACCACAAATCAAGATTGCTTCAGCGGTCCCCAAGGAAAGAGAAAATGGAAAAAGGTTGGTCACCACGCGGCCAGAGGTGCCGAAGGAGAAGACAGCTGCAGTCCCTAATGCCTGGGTGCAGGGCCCACCGCGGGTGGTGCTGTATAATGGCTTGTGATGATGGGCAGGACAGACAGGGGCAGGAAGTGAAGGAAGTGCCGCAGAGTAGTGGTGTGGATTTTTCTAATGAAATATCCGAGATTACCAGGATGTTCTAGATGCTGATGCAGAGAATGGACGCTATCGAAAGGAAACTGGCCCAGGTTCCCAGCGAAGAAACGGAAAAACAGAAAGAGGGGGAGGAGGCAACAAAAGAAACTCCGACTAAAGACACAGACACAAAACAAACATGTATTTTTACAAAGGAACAAGATTCAGAAAGTGAGATAGTTATTAAAGGGAAGGAAAGACAAATAACAGCCAGTGTGG